GCCGACGTTGGGGTGCGACGGCTCGTCGCGGTCGTCACGGCGCATGTCGCGCGCGCCGACGTTGCGGCGCGGGCCGATGTCGCGGTGGTGCTGGTCGCGGCGCCGCAGCTCGTCGGGGTCGCGACGGTGGTCGCGACCCTGCGGCTCGTGGTGCTCGCGACGGTGATCGCGACGGTAGGGCTCCTCGAGGTCGCGAGGGTGGTCGCGAGGGTGGGGCCCGTCGACGTCGTGACGGCGCGACTCGTCGAGGTCGTGACGGCGCGACTCGTCGAGGTCGCGAGGGTGGTCGCGAGGGTGGTCGCGAGGGTGGTCGCGACGGTGCGACTGGTCGAGGTCGTCGCGGCGCAGGCCGGTGCTGCGCTGCGAGCCGACGTTGTGGCTGGCCACGCTCTCGTAAGCGCGGATGGTCTGCTGGGCCCCAGCGAGGGCCAGCTGCGCTCCGACGAGCTCGCGGCGTACGAGAGCGAGGTCGCTGCGTACGAGATCGAGGTCGCGGCGTAGGTCCGTCGCCTCCGTCCTGAAGCGACCGTTCTTGCGACGCTCCTCTCTGGGGCGTGAGGGGGGTCAGTATGAGTTGAGGCTGCAATCGGGCGTCGGGGACACAAGGTCGGCGTCGCGCCCAGCACACGACGCCGGACGGAGGGGCCTCGGGGACTCAAGATCGGCTTCGCGCCCAAGGGTACGGCGGAGCGGCCTCGGGGATTCAAGATCGGCTTCGCGCGCACCACACGGGGATGGGCGGAGAGGCCTCGGGGACTCAAGATCGGCTTCGCGCCCAAGGGTACGGCGGAGTGGCCTCGGGGATTCAAGATCGGCTTCGCGCCCACCACACGGGGATGGGCGGAGAGGCCTCGGGGACACAAGGTCGGCTTCGCGCCCAAGGGCAGGCGGAGGGGCCTTGGGGCGCGAGTGCGTCGCACAGCTCACCTGAAGGACTCGTACAGTCGCTCGTTCTTGCGGCGCTCTGCCTCCAAACGGATCTGAGCCGCAGTAGCCTCGGCAGTGAGGCGCAGAAGCGTGGTGTTGGTCGTGTCGCCGACGGTCGTGTTGATGTTGTTGCCGTTGCTCATCGAGCCGACGTTGACGTTGACGCAGACGGCGACGGCGCTGGCCGAGCGCTGCCGCTGCTTGCCTGCAGCGCGAGACGAGAGCGACGGCCCTGCCAAAGCTGTGCGGGCGCGCTTGGGCGTCGACGCCGGTGGCGACGAGGCGGCGGCTGCGGGGACGTGTCAGTCTAGTGGCTGAATGCTGCGCGCCGGCGCGGCGACGCGCTAACTCACGCGAGAGGGAGCGCTTCGGCAGCATGTCAGAGAAGAGGGGTCGAGGGGAGCGGATGCGAGGAAGCGAGAGCGGACGCGATAGAGCGAGAGCGGACGCGAGGAAGGCGGGGGGGAGGGGGGGTCGCACGTAGATGGAGCAGGTGGAGAGCGAGAGAGCCAGGGGCCCGGACACGCTGTCTTAAGAGAGGCGGCCGCAGCGAGCGGGTGGGGAGCGGCGCCATCGCTGCAGAGCGGCTGGGGCGCAGCAGCGAGCAGCGGCGGAGCGGCGGCATCGCTGCAGAGCGGCCTGGGCGCAGCGCAGCCGCAGTGCAGCGGCGGCGCGGCGCTGCGGGCGTTGCGGCGTGTGTGCAGAGGGGGGGCGTGTTGTGGTGAGAGTGGTGGATGGAACGCTGCCTGATCGGGCGCGTGCGACGAGCTTTTAGCCTCTGCGGCGCGCGGCCGCCCCTGCCTCGAGCGAGCCCGGCGCTGACGCGGCCCGACGTGTCGCGTCCTCACCCGCTGCCGACGCGGCGCGCCCAACGGCTCGCCTGCATGCTGCTGCACCGCCTCGTCGCACTCGTCGCACTCTCCAGAGCGCAGTAGCAGCGCAGCGGCAGCCTCAGGCGACACCAACCATGGCGCTCGGCGCCGCAGGCCGCTCCGCCGTTGCAGCGGCGGGCCGAGCAGGGGTGGACAAACGAATGCATTGGACGGCTGAGACAAGTGATCGCGCAGGCGGGGCGGACGAGGTAGGAGAGATGGGCTTCGTCGAGTTCGAAGCACTCGTGTCTTCGTCTGCAGCCTCACAGCAGCAGCAGCTGCAGCTGCAGGGTGCAGGGGTGGCGCTGCTGCTGGTTGCGGCTGCGCTCTGCATCCTCCTGCCTGCAGCTGATGCTGTGCTGCGTCTCTGATATGCTGCATCGTCGGTGGCGGCGAGGCTCAATATGCCGCATGGTGTGCGGCGAGGCGGAAGGCTAACGCATCGTCGGCGGGACTGCGGCCATGGCGGCATCGGCTGTGCGCCGTCGGACTCGAGTCGCCTCAAGCTCTGCCAGGTTGCTCTCGATCTGCTTCTGGACGGCCTGAAAGGCGTCCTCGAGGCCGAGGCGTTTAAGCACCTTCTTGCGCGCCTCCTTGGACACCTTGGTCTTGGGCAGCGTCTGGTGGGGATGCCGCACCGCCACGGCACTCACAGCAAGCGCCGTGCTGCTGCGTTGAGCCTCGAGTTGGGCGGTCTTGAGCTCGGCGAGAGCCTTGTGCGCGCTGGTCTCGGCCTCGGCGACGGCCTGGACCTTCTCGTTGAGCTCGCGCTTCGTGCGCTCTAGCTCGTCCTTGACGTCGCGCAGCTCTGCGACTTTTTGCTGCCAGGCTGCGCTGTGTGTCGGCCGCACGCCGCGTCAGGGTGCTGCTGATCATCATCGGCCCAGCGGCCTCTTTGCCGTCGGCTGCTTCGTCGAATACTCGACTCACCGAAGCAGCTTGACCGAATTAGCGATGCTCCGCGCCGATGCAGTGATGTCTTGCACGCAGGAATCGAAGACGGCCTCATGGGAGCCCCGCCTCGCCTCCTCGTGCGCGGATTCGGTGCCGACCGCTGCACGGGTAAGGCGGGCTCTGCGAGTGTGAGGCAGGCTGCGGCTGATGAGTCGCATGCTGGGTGGAGAGGCACATCATGCAGCTGTCCAGAGCGCAGCGTCAGATCCACAGCGCATCGCGCAAAAACGACTGGCTATCGCGGCGCTGCTTCGAGGGGCGCTCGGGCTCCTCTCTGGCAGCGTCGATCTGCTGCTCCGAGGACAGCGGCGACGAGCGTGAGGGCGAGTGCTTGTGAGGTGAGCTGGACATACTGAGCTGAAGGGTGTACGATTCCTGAGCAGCACGCTCGCCTTTTGACCTCTGGCGCAGACCTCTCGCGAGCGTGCTCGCTGCCGCATGCGAGCGGCGCGTCTCAGCCACGCTTCGCAGCCGAACTCGCCAAGGACGCAGATGGAGCGCAGAGCGATCGCAGTCCGGTGCTGCGGCATCGCGCAGCAGCAGCCAGTGCTGCGGATGCGATCAGCGCTGCGGCACCGGCGCAGCAGGCGATGCGAGCGTTTGGCACAGCCGCCTCGCGTCGAGAGGTGCTCGGGATGGCCCAGCGGACGCGTCGCAGCGGCGCAGCACACCCTTGCGCTGGCGTCCGACATGCCGACGGTGCCGCATGAGCCGCGCCGGCATGCGGACTGAGCACGCTTCCTTTGCGCCGCTCGGCATTTGAGTACTCGGCATCGCGGCGTGCGCAGCAGAGCTCGATGACTCGACGGCGTGCGTTCCTGCCGCAGCAAGGCGGCGCCGGCGCAGCGCAGCGGCGGGCGAGGGCGAGGGCGCGCATGCAGCGCTGCACGACGCGCAGCTGCCTCGCACACGCCCAGCACGCGCCGTCCGACGCGAGAGTCACGCACCTGCCGCAGGTCGTCCAACTGCACATCTCCTCAAGCACTCGCAAGAGATTCGACCAACGTCGAGCGTGCGGTGCCGTGCCGAGCAAGCGGTGCGTGATGGGGCCAGAGCGGACGGCGGCGAAGATGACAGCCGAAAGGGGCAGGCACGCCCGCGGCGCAGCGCCGCTCCCACGCTGTGTGCCTTGCGCCGCCCGATTGCGCCCTCCACGCTAGCCAAGACGGGTGCGGCGCAGCGCGAGGCACCTGCGCTGCGGAGCGGCGCCGGAAGCGGGCGAGGCGGCGTGTGCGCAGACAGCGCGCAGCACACACAGGCGGCGTGCCCGGATGCACATGCGGCGCGTGCTGCACGGCGTTGGCCGCGGCGCGTCGGCATCAGAGCAGTCTCGCACCCAGGCCCAGCAGCAGCAGAGGCTCTGCCCGCGCAAGCCGGCGGCCTCGCGCCCTCTGCTGGCGTGCCGCTGCCAGAGCAGGCCTCGCTGTCGCCCGCCGGCGGCGTGCACGGTGGCCGTGCCGCATCGCCGAGGCCGCTCTCCGCCGCGCACTCGCCCGAGCTGTCCCGTCCCTCTCGCTCCCATCGGCCTCCCTCTCGCTCCACCCCACTCCACCTTGCTGCCTCGCACAGCCGCACGGCACTCGACGCTCGCTTCCTCGGCGCACCTCACGCCGCCGCACCCGCCTGCCTGGCGCACCTTGCTTGCTCGAGCGCCGCTCCGTCTCGCTCCGCCTCGGCCGTCCGCCGACCCGCGGCCGCAGCCATGTCGTGGAAGCTCGGCAAGAGTGAGTGCTGCCTGGCCACGCCTGCCGTCGCCGCATTTGCGCTGGCTCACACCCTTGGCAGAGCTCAAGGAGGGCGCGCTCGGCGGCCGCTCGCCGTCGATGTCGACGGGCACGCCTGGCGGCGCCTCCATCGACCGCTCCGCCACGCCCACTCCCGCCACGGCCTCGAGCTCCTCGTCGGCGGGCAACCCGCTGGCCTCGTCGACGGGCGCGCCCATCTCGCGCTCCGGCATGCTCGCGATCCGCGTCATCGATGCGCGTGGCCTCTCGCTGCCCAGCGGCGTGCCCGTGCCGCCGACGATCGCCCGTGCGCTCACCGCCGATGCCTCGGGCCAGATGGGCTCGCTGGCCGGCAGCGGCGCAGGCAACCGCGCAAGCCTGCAGCGGAGACAGGCCTGGTGGCTGCCGTATCTCGTGCTCGAGTTCGACAGAAACGAGGTGCTCATCGACGCCGTGGGCGGCGATCTGCAGGGCCCGACGTGGATGTACAAGGCGCACTTGTGAGTCTGGACGCCGGGTGAGGCGCGCAGTCGCTTGTTGCGCAGGGTGCAGATGCGACAGTGCGACGAGCTGGCAATGAGTCGGGCCTACGTCGTCGGACGTCGCTGCCGCGAGTGCCGAGCGATGGGCTGCTGGCGCGGCGTAAGCTGCATGCACGCACGCGCCGCCTCGCAGGGCACGCTCGGGCCGCTTCCTGGCTCCCATGCGTCTGCCCTTCACGCACTGATCTTGGACCCTGCCGCCGCATAGCGATGTGTCGCGCAACTCGGAGATCTCGCTGCAGTGCTACTTGCGCTCGGGCGACGGGCCCCGCGCCGGTGGCGGCGCTGGCGGCTCGGGCAACGCAGACGCCAAGGACGGGCAGGGAGACGATGTGATGGGCGTCAGCGACATCTACCTCGGCGGCGTCAAGTGGGTGCCCGACTTTGACAATCAGGTGAGTGGCCCGTGCTACTGCTGCCGCTGCCGCACGCCGTATTCGCAAGCTGACCGCGACTCGCAGCGCACGACGGACGAGTGGTACCCCGTCAGCGGCGGCTCGGGCCAGATCCACGTGCACGTCTCGTACCAGAGCGACCACGTCAGTGCCGAGCCAGCCCCGCAGCTGCAGCATGCACTGACCTCGCTCCACAGACGCCCTCGTCGCTCACCATGGACGCATTCGACCTGCTCAAGGTCATCGGCAAGGGCAGCTTCGGCAAGGTGAGCTCGCAGCGCGTACACCCGCCGTCGCTGCCGCCTGACATCTCTGGCTCTGCAGGTGATGCAAGTGCGCAAGCGCGACACATCGCGCATTTACGCGCTTAAGACGCTGCGCAAGGCGCACATCGTCTCGCGCTCCGAGGTGACGCACACGCTGGCCGAGCGGACGGTGCTGGCGCAGGTGAACAACCCGTTCATCGTGCCGCTCAAGTTCAGCTTCCAGAGCCCCGACAAGCTCTACCTCGTGCTCGCCTTCGTCAACGGCGGCGAGCTGTTCCACCACCTGCAGCGCGAGGGCCGCTTCTCGGAGGAGCGTGCGCGCTTCTATGCGGCCGAGCTGCTCTGCGCGTTGGAGCACCTGCACGGCTTCAACGTCATCTACCGGTGAGCAGCAGTGCCGCTGTCGTCAAGCTGGAAGCCGCCCGAAGTGCTCGTGTCTCAGCCTCGCGGCTGACGCATCCACCTGGCTCGCAGTGACCTGAAGCCCGAGAACATCCTGCTCGACTACACTGGGCACATTGCGCTGTGCGACTTCGGCCTGTGCAAGGTCAACATGGGCGACTCGGAGACGACAAACAGTGCGTAGCTTTGCGCCTCGCAGGTGATACAGATCGGCTGACTCTTCTGCGCAGCATTCTGCGGCACGCCCGAGTACCTCGCGCCCGAGCTGCTGCTGGGCCACGGCTACACGCGTGCCGTCGACTGGTGGACGCTGGGTGTGCTGCTGTACGAGATGCTGACGGGCCTGCCGCCTTTCTACTCGGAGGACGTCAACGAGATGTACCGCAAGATCCTGCAGGACCCGCTGCGCTTCGGCGACGAGGTGCACTCGGACGCCCGTGCGCTCCTCACGCTGCTCCTCAACCGCGACCCGGCACAGCGTCTGGGCAGCGGCCCCAACGGCGCCGCCGACATCAAGGCGCACCCCTTCTTCGCAAAGCACATCAACTGGAGCATGCTGCTCGCCAAAAAGGTGCAGCCGCCGTTCAAGCCGAGCGTCGTGAGTGTGGCTCTCTTGCTCGTGCGCTGTGCTGCGCTCTGACACCTCGCTGCGCCAGGCCTCTGCCATCGACACGAGCAACTTCGACCCGGAGTTCACCAACGAGCCCGCCGTCGACTCGGTCGTGGACGACAGCCACATGGTGCGTCATCGCGACGCGGCGTCTGTGCCTCCTGCATCGTGCTGACGTCGTGCCTCTGCAGCTGAGCGCCACGGTGCAGAACCAGTTCTCCGGCTTCTCGTGGAACGGCCGCGGCGAGATGAGCGAGTCTCTGCGCGACTGAGGGGCGCACTCTGGACGGATTGCCGCCAGTGCCGCACCAGCGCTGTGCCGGGCGATCGTCTCTGTGGCTGCCTGTCTCCCTCTTCTCACCTCTCGAGCCCCGTGACACACTCTCCTTTCTGATCTGCCTCTCACCCCGTCCTGTCCGCGCGTCCACGTCTCGTACACAAGAACTCTTTACCCCTCCATCACACAATTCATCTTCACATCGCTGCGTCGTCGGTGCCTAGCCGCTCTGCCAGCTCGAGCAGCCTGCCGTATGGAGGCGAGACAGTCTGTGTCGTCCGCAGCAGAGCAACTCCCGCCGAGAGTCAGCTGGCCTTGCGAACGGAGACCCACGACAGGCCACCGCGCTCGGGCCGCTCGAAGAAGCCGCGTGCCAAGAGAGAGCACTCTCCTTCGCACTGCCATCCATGCCCTCCACACAGCGAGTGCATGTTCCGAGAGTAGGAGCAAGAACGGCTTCTCGGCGCCGTGCAGCTGAGTGATGGGTGATTCGATTTGATGGGTGGTGTTACAGAAAGGCCAGGAACGGAAGCGCAGCGGGAACGTGCTGTGACAGTGGGGAGAGCGCATCTGCTGCAAGGCCTGGCAGAGTGTTGCGCGCGCGCGTAAAGCGAGATGGCTGAAAGTCGCGAGAGAGAGAGAGAGAGAGACAGGTGGGTGTGCGAGCAAGGTGCACAACTAGTCGTATGCCTCTTCTGCAGATTGCCGCACGAGCTGGCGCACCTGCGAGGAAATGACTGGCGTGAGCTCTCATGCGATGCGTCTGTGGAAAGGAGCGGCACTGACCTTCTTGCGGTAGCCCTTGATGTCGTCGCGGACCTGCTTCGCCGCGTCGATGTTCGCAGGCGAGTCGGTGCTGGGCGTGTCCATTGACAGAAGACTGATGACAGAGATGAGCTGCAGGGCAGAACTGTCAGTGGAATGCTTCTCATGGCCGCATCTGCTCGAAAAAGGAATGTGCAGGTCGTAGTCGAGCATCGCAGAGCAGCCGCTCGGCCTGCACGAGTTCAGGCTCGCTGCCCTGCTTTGCACCAGTTCTGCGTCGTGCCATCGCCGACAAGCTGCAAACTCGCTGCTCACTTCGTGCCGCCACTGGGCTGCCGGCCGCCTTTGACGTGCTCTTTGCGAGCCGAGGGCAGCCCGCGCTCTGACACGCATCAATGGAGCTCAATGGGGCTCAAGCTCGTATCCCACACCCTTCCAGGCTTCCACCATGCGATCCATCCTGCACATCCTCCTGCTCTCCCTTCTGCGCATCAAATCCACCAGACCAGCCAGCCGCCACTCCGCCAGACTCGACTCACGATGCTCTCGACCGTGTGCACAGGCATCCAGCGCTCTCCCGCATCTTCGTAGCCGTACTCGTCCGTTCCCGGAGCATGCTGCAAGGCAAGGAAGCGGCGTGAGCGGTGCTTGCGCGCTGAGCGATCGCCCGGCCGCAGCGAAAGGCGTGCACGCCACGCACCAGAATGGAGATGCACACGTTGCCGTCGGCGTAGACTGCAGAGGCGCGCTGTGTGAGCTGCCGCCTGCGGAGTAGCTCCGATCGCACGCAGACTCACCGTTGGGGTGCCACATGGGCGTGATGAACTTCATCTTCGGCGGCAGCAGCGGGTACTCGGGCGGAAAGACGAGCTCGGCACGCAGGAAGCCACCCTCGTAGAGCGTGTCTGCCAGCATGGAGCGCAGGGCGTCAGCCGGGCACTCGAGGGGCGAACTCCCCGTGCGCCACTCACCGTTCGGGCCGATGATCATGATCTCCCACTCGTACAGGTTGTCGTCATCCTTGAGGCCCGCACTGAAGCCGTCGACTGGGCCTGAAGGAGAGCGGCGTGCGTCAGCAGCTGCTTCGAGCGCAAGGGAGAAGTAGCGCGGCAACGCACGTTTCCGCAGCTCAGTGAGCTGACTGTGGGTCAAGAGAGGTCAGCGGCGCTTCGCATGAGCGAGACCGGCTCTCGGGCTTACCGCTTGAGCAGCAGCGCATTGCCCGAGCTCATGGTTGCCGAAGAGAGAGGTGGCGCAGCGGCGGGCGCAGGGGGGGTGCGGAAGCGACGAGCGGCTCTGCGGCGAGGAGCTTCTGCGGTGCTGTGTGTGGAGTGCGAGTGTGCAGTGGTGCGGGCTCGCCGGCGGAGCGGTGTGGGGTGATGGAAGGAGAGCGGAGAAGGATGATGAGTGCAGGACAGGAGAGATGCGGCGGCGGCGCACGGGCACCGCCAGGGTGCAGCGGGCGGCGCGACTACTCTTTCGACGCGCTGGTTGTATTGGGCGCCGACGTGTTGTAGTGCCCGACTGCAGCCTCCACTCGGCGCGAGGCGAAGATCTGCCTCGCCTGCACCTGCTCCTTCGCGAGGCAGCCTGCCTTCTGCCCACCATCTCCTCTGTTGCCCGGCTGGCGCCTGTGCACCATGCCGCTTCCTCCACGGCCGTCGCAGATGGCCGCTGCGGCCGCTGCGGCCGCGTCCAAAAGCAGCAGCTCGCCCGCCCGCTCGTCCAGCGCTTCGCCTGCGCCAGCCGCAGCGCCGCCTTCCCCGGCTGTGGATCCGTCGGCACCGCTGCCTCTCCTCGCTGCGCCTACGTCCCTCACCGCATCGTCGTACATCCAGGTACACCCGAGCACGCTGCGTGCGCATTCTCTGCGCACCCACGACCCGGTTCTCCTCCTCCTCCTGCAGCCAGGCGCATCGGCTCCTCCGCGCCCAGTCCTCGGCCACATCTGGCCATCGCCGGGACTTGCGCAGGAGGGCGTCGCACTGCCAGACGGCAGTGCGAGAGCGACAGAGACCCGCGCCTGTATGTGGTCGCTCGACGCTCTGAGGTCCGAGGCTGGCGTGACCGAGACGCAGCAGCGGCGCAAGGAGCTGCAGCTCGAGCTGCTGCCTCAGCAGGGCGCCGATGCAGGCGCTGCAGATGAAGAGCTCTGCGAGCTGCTCGCTGTGAGGGCCAGAGAGTCTCTAGGTGAGTGCAGTGTGCACTTCGCCTCGCTCAGCTCGGCTCATGAGCTGGTCACTGTAGTGGAGCAAGGCGACGTGCTGCCCGGCCAGCTACTGCAGGTCAGCCTTCTCGACGAGACGTATCTGCTGCGTGTCACGGGCATGCTGCCTGCGAGTCCGTCTAGCCTTGCGTCCGCTCCGTCGAAGGCTCTTCGAAGCCATGCCCTTGATGTTGCTCGCTGCGTCATCGCCATCGATCGCGGCACGCAGTTTCAGGTCAAGCTCGGCAGCCGCAGCAAGGAGAGCTACCAGAGCAAGGCAGACGCCGGCAAGGTCGCATCTGCAGCAGATGCAGAGGCGTACCAGACTCTGGGTGGGCTAGGCGGCGCGATCAAGGAGCTCAAGAGCCTGGTGGAGCTGCCGCTGCGGCGGCCGGAGGTCTTCACTGCATATGGTGAGCGACTTGTGCTCTAGCCAGACGTCGCCGTAGCTCAAAGGTGATTTGCTCCGCAGGTCTGCGACCGCCGCGAGGCGTTCTGCTCTACGGCCCGCCCGGCACCGGCAAGACAACCCTGGCATCTGCATGCGCCAGGTCGTGCGGCGTGGCCAGCTCCTCCATCTTCCATCTCTCAGGGCCCTCACTGTCCTCGTCGCTGCATGGCCGGACTGAGGCGCGGCTGCGAGCGCTCTTCGCCAAGGCACAGAAGCACGCGCCGGCTGTGATCATCATCGACGAGATCGACGCGCTTGCGCCACGCAGAGAGGCCGGTGCTGGCTCAGAGGGAGCCGGCGAGGTGGAGAGGCGAGTCGTCGCCACGCTCCTCACGCTCATGGACGGCCTGGGCGAGGTCGAGGCAGGCCCGCGTCGCGGCGCAGGCGAGGACGAGTCTGAGCCCCCACTGCCCGGGCGCGTCGTCGTCATTGCTGCGACCAATCGACCGAATGCGCTCGACCCCGCCCTGCGGAGACCTGGACGTCTGGACCGAGAGATCGAGATTGGTGAGCGCATCGTCCGCTCGCTGTGCGAGCGCTGCTAACAGCCGTCGTCAGGCATCCCGACTGCTCCTGCCAGATTGGAGATCCTGCAGGTGCTGCTGCGCTCGGTGCCGCACTCGATGCAGGACGACGAGCTGGAGATGCTGGCGACGGGCACGCACGGCTTTGTCGGAGCCGATCTGGCGTCACTCGTGCGCGAGGCGGGCATGGCTGCCCTAGCTCGCAACGTGAGGTCTGCCGACGGACTAGCCTCGAGCTTCTCCGGGCTCTCCCTCAGCTCTGCGCCTGCCGAGTCACGCATCAGTGCCGCCGACTTTGCGCAGGCACGCACGCGAGTGCGGCCGAGCGCCATGCGCGAGCTCTTCCAGGAGCTGCCAAAGGTGCGCTGGAGCGACATCGCCTCTGGCGGCGCAGAGACATTGGCCCGTGTGCGCGAGTGCGTCGAGTGGCCTCTCAAGCATGCGCCGGCATTGAAGCGGCTTGGCGTGCGGCCTCCGACGGGCGTGCTGCTCTATGGCCCGCCGGGGTGTAGCAAGACACTCATTGCGCGAGCCATCGCGTCGGAGAGCGGGCTCAACTTCGTCGCTGTCAAGGGGCCAGAGGTGCGTGCTGAGATGTCTTGCTCTGCGGCGCCCGAGCTGATCGCTGTTCTCCTCGCAGCTGTACAACAAGTTCGTCGGCGAATCCGAGCGGGCGCTGCGAGATGTCTTCACACGCGCTCGCGCCGCATCTCCAGCCATCATCTTCTTCGTGAGTGTGCGAGTACTGCACGAAGCATTCTGCTGACTCCTTTGCTTCAGGACGAGATCGATGCGCTCACCTCGACGCGCAGTGGGTCAGGCGGCAGTGTCTCTGACGGCGTGATCGCGACGCTCCTCAACGAGATGGACGGCGTCGAGACGCTCGACAGCGTGCTCGTCGTTGCGGCCACCAACCGGCCAGAGATCATCGTGCGTTCCATCTCGCAGAAGCTTGCGTCTGGCATCGGCTGACAACTTCGCGCTGCAGGACCCGGCTCTGCTGCGGCCAGGCCGTTTGGATCGTCTGCTCTACGTCGGCCCGCCCGACACGCTTGCCCGTCGGCAGATTCTCACGCTGCGCACGCGCGACATGGCCCTGGGGTCCGATGTCGACCTCGACGCCATTGCCGACATGGTGCGTGCCCTTGCATGTCCACGCAGCTGCGCGCTCGCTGACGCTTGTCCGCCTGCCAGACACAAGGCTGCTCCGGCGCCGAGGTCGTGTCGGTGTGCCAGGACGCAGGCATGCGCGCGCTCAACGAGAGCCTCGACGCTACGCATGTGCGTCGTGCCTGTGCCTGAGAGATCTGCGTGACTCCGTCGTTGCTGACCCCCCTCGGCTCGCAGGTCTCGCATGCACACCTTCTTGCGGCTGCGCGCGCTGTGCGTCGGCGCATCACGCCGGGCATGCTCATGGCCTTCACCGCCTGGCGCGACCAGACAATATGATGCTTCTGTCGCCAGGATTGCCGGTGCGGCATGCGTGGTCCGGCGGCATGGCATTCTCAGCCGAAGGTGTCAGTGAGCGCACATAGAGGTGTGTGTTTGCCGTTGCCCAGCTGTGCAGCGAAAGCGTGCATGGGCAGCGCGGTCTCGGCGTGGGGCACAGGCAGCGCCGCGAATCTCCGGCGCCGAGGCGCGCCGCGCCGCGGCGAGGCGATCTCACCCGCGGCCGTACGTGCGCCCCGTGCGCGGGCGCGCAGCCGCAGCGGCCGATGCAGACCCTCGGCGCGAGCTGCGCGCGCCATCCGCTCCTTCCACCACGCCTCCCTCTCCCCACCCCGCTGCCCGGTGCCCAGCATGTCGGCCCAGTCGCCGCTCATCTCGTGAGTCGGCACGCAAACGGCCCCGGACATGTGACTCACTGCCGGCCCTGCAGCGTGCCCGTCAAGCAGACGGACGAGGTGGATCTGGCCACGCCCGTCGCCGCCCTCATCCGCTCCAGCTACGGCGAGGACCCCAAGCAGCACGCCGAGGCCCTCAGCGCGCTCAACCGCGCGCGCCAGGACGCCGTGCGCGGCGCAGGCAGCGATGCCACAGGTGCGTGCGGGCAGCACGCGTCACTCTGCGCCGCCCCGCTCATGCCTGCTCTGCAGCGCGCGACCTGCTCTACAAGTGGTTTCACATGCTCGAGATGCTCGAGCTGCGCTTCCCAGAGCTGCGAGTGCCCTTTCCATGGTGCGTCGTGCCCTCGCCCAGCACCCCACGCCGCGCTGACCGCTCGCTGCAGGAAGGACGCCTTCACCTCCAAGCCCATCTCGCAGCACTCGCTCGCCTACGAGAAGGCCTCGATCATCTTCAACATCGCCGCGACACTCTCCTCGCTGGCCTCGCGCTCGTCGCGCCTCTCGTCTGCCAATGCCGACACATCGACGTCCGACGGGCTCAAGCTCTCGTTCCTCTCGCTGCGCCAGTCGGCCGGCATGCTCTCCTACATCAACGACAACTTCCTGCACGCGCCCTCGACGGACATGTCCAAAGACGTCGTGCGCTGGCTCATCGACCTCATGATCGCCCAGGCACACGAGGTGCTCTGGGAGAAGACGGTCGGCGAGGGCAAGGGCAACAGCCTCAGTGCCAAGCTGGCTGCCAGCGCGGCAGACCGCTATGCCAAGCTGGAGAAGGATGCAAAGGACTGGGTTGGCAAGGGCATCATGAACAAGAGCTGGGCATCGCTCGTGGCTGTGAGTACCCTGCGCTGGCCGATGATTGCAAGGCAAGGCTGCGCTCTGCAGCACGTCTGACCCCAGCTCTGCCGCTAGTGCAAGGCCAAGTACTTTGCATCCAGCGCACAGTACTACAGGGCGCTGGCAGACGCAGCGGCGAACAACCACGGCGCGTGCCTCGTGCGTCTGACGCTCTCGGAGACGCTGGCGAAGGAGGCGCAGAAGCTCGCGACCGTCTTTGGCAACGGCCTCGCATCGAGCGCCTGGGGTGCATCACTCGCTGCGACGCTCGACTCGCCGCCTGCATCGCCGGCCGGCGGCAGCGGCAGCACGTCGAACGGCCTGCCGAGCGATGCGGCGTCCATGATGACTGTCCTCACTGCCACGCATCTGGCGCTCGTGACGGGCCGCAAGAACGTGGCGGTCAAGGACAACGACCTCATCTACCACGACATTCTCCCGTCGGAGAGCCAGCTGCCGACCATCGAGCCCATCGTCGCTGCGACGCCCATCTCGATCCAGGAGATCTACGCCAGTCCCGACGTGCAGAAGCTGATCGGTGCGCCCTCGGCCGGCGCAGCCGGTGGCGGAGGCGCCAGTGGCCTGGCGAGCAACGACCTCTTCTCGCGTCTCGTGCCGCTTGGCGTGCACGAGGCGGCGAGCATGTACAGCGAGGAGAAGGCGAGTGTGGCGCGCGGCGAGGCGGAACGTGTCGACCTGGCCGACGGCGAGCTCGCCGCGGCGCTCGAGTACATGGGCATGCCTGGCGCGCTGGTGCGCTTCCGCAACGTCGGCTCCGGCGGCCTCTCGCAGTCGGCCATCGACTCGCTCACCGATCCGGGAAGAGAGGTGCGCGCATGGGCTGAGGAGGAGCAGCGCGGCGGCGGCAGTCGAGGCGCAGAGGGTCTCGGCGAAGGCGGCGTCGAAGGAGCGTTGCGTCGCATCGATGCAAGGCGAGAACAGGCGCGCAGAGATCTCGACGAGGCCATCGCTGCGCTCAACACGGACAACGCAGAGTGCGAGAAGCTCAGAGTCCGCTTCGGCGCCGCGTGGAAGCAGGAGCCGGCTGGTACAGTCACGCGTGCCTGGCGCGCCGACGCCAAGTCGCATCGCGAGGCGCTCGAGCAGGCCAGCGCAAACGACGAGCGACTGCGACACATCTGGGCGCAGGCACGGGAAGGCATCCAGATTCTCCTCGGCGGCCGAGACGGCCTCGAAGCGGCCTTTGCCCAGGCCGTCGCCTCAGCATCGGGCAGCGGCACACAGAACGGCGGTCTGCTCGACCTCTCCGAGGACGACGAGCACTCGTCCGACGCCGACCTTGCAGCGCTGCGGAACAACGTCTCGGCTATTGAAGGACATCTTGCCGCGCTGCACAAGATCAAGAAGGATCGTGCCGACACGCTCGCTGATCTGCGCGCCAAGATCCAGACGGACGATATTTCCCACCTGCTCATTCTCAACCGCCGAGCGCCGCCAGAGGCACAGCACCATCTCTTTGCGCAGGAGCTGGAGAAGTTCAAGTCGCACCAGACACGCCTCTCACGAGGCCAGGCGGAGCAAGAGCGCGTGCTCACTGAACTGGCGCGTGCCTGGAAGGAGATCGGCGAAGGCGCAGCTGGCGTTCGCATCAACGGCGAGTGGGATAAGCGCAATCGTGCTCGCAAGGCGCTCGTCGATCGGCTGCGCGACGCCAAGGAGGCGCACGCTCAAGCTCGCGCCGGCGTGGCCAAGGCCAGCAAGTTCTACGAGGAGCTCGAGGAGGTCGCGGCAGAGCTGCGGCGCAGCGTGCGCGGCTTCGTCGAGGATCGTACATCGGAGCGCGAGCGGCTACGCGCCGAGGCCGAGTGGGAGGAGAAGGGCAGAGACTCTGCGTCGCAGCAGCCGCCGCAGCGTCAAGATAGCTTCGAGTCGTCGTTCGCCAGCATGAGCATGGGAGGCGGCCGAGCTCCGCCGCCGCCGCCATCGCAGAGCGCATACGGCGCACCAGCTCCGCCTCGCTCGATGTACTCGACGCCGGCGGCGCCGCCGCCGCTGCCCACGTCTGCACTCTCGCCTCAAGCAAGCGGCAACAGCTGGGCGCCGCCGCCACCTGCAACGCAGCCGTCTTACTCGAGCGCTCCTGCGCCGCCAGCAGCATCGCCCTACGACTCTCTGAGCTCCTTCGAAGCCTTCTCGTCATCGAGCGCCTCGCGGCCACCCACGACTGCGCCGTCGAGCTACGCCAGTCCCGGCGGCTATTCGAGTCCTGCGCCTCCTCGAGGCTACGGCAGCGCAGCACCTCCACCGCCACCGCCGCAGCACGGAGGCTATATGAGTCCGCCTCCATCTCAGCAGCAGCTATCTCGCACTCCTTCGCTGCCTCCGCCGCCGCCACAGTGGAACGGCCACTCGCAGTCGTACAGCCAAGCTCCGCCGCCGCCTCCGCCATCGCAGTACGGGCAGTCGCAGTACGGGCAGGCGCCTCCTCCGCCGCCGCAGCAGCGTCAGGCGAGCGGCGGCTACCCGTCGTACGGCCCGGCTCCGCCGCCGCCGCAGAGCCCATACGGCGGCTACGGCGCTGCACCTCCGCCGCCGCCGCCGCCTCAGCAGCAGCAGCACGGCTACGGCCAGCAGTACGGTGCGCCGCCGCCGCCGCCGCCGCCAGGACAGCAGCAGCCGTACGGCGGCGGCTGGCCGCCGCGTCCGGCATACTAGCCCTCGTCGCAATGCAGCTTTGCGCGCTCGTCTTCGCGCTGGGATATGATTGGTGACGCTTGCGAAGAGCCGAATACAGGAGGTGAGAAGGTGACGCAGGAGAGGCGAGACTAGCTGAGTGCTACAGGCGAGGTCAGAAGGACAGGAAGGGAGTGGGAATGGAGCGAGCGGGAAGAGTGGAAGCGCGCAGCAGCGGCGGCAGCCAGCCGCTTCTCGAGCGCGCGCGCCGCGGTGCGCTACCAGCGCACCTCGAGGTACTCGTCCTCCTCGATGCCCGCGCCGCTGATTGTCTCGGTGCGAGCAAGAGTCTCGCCGTCGTAGAGAATGCGCGCGCGACGTTGCTTCTGCTCGCTCCACGTCTTCAGCGCGTGATCGAGAAGCGTGCCAATCGTCGTCGTCGGCTTGACGCGCACGGGCAGCTCCAACTTGCCCTCGCAGCCGCCGCGGAGCGTGATGCTGATGTGCTCGACGTTCTGCGACGATGCGGCGGCAGCGGCAACTTGCTGCGAAGACGATGCGGCGGCGGCGACGGCGGCGGCGGCGGCGGCAACTCGCTGCGAAGGTGCGACGCCGACGATCTCGAAGTCGTCCTCGTCTGCTCGAGGTGCACGCTCCTCGTCTGCTTGAGGCGCACGCGCACGCGCAGTAGAGGCGCTGCGGCGCCGCTGCGGCTGCGGCGGCGGCGGCGCCGGCAGAAACTCGACCTCGTCAGAGTCGGACGATGTGGCCGGCGCCAGCGCCGGCGCTCTGGCTGCCGGAGCGGCGGCCGCGGCGATCTTGGCGGGCCTTGCGCGACGCCTCGCCTGTCGGCGCTGCTCCTCTTCCTCCGCGCGACGCCGGATCTCGGCGGCCTGCGGGCCGCGGTAGAGAAGCGCCAGATCAGGCTCGAGCACGCGTGGAGCGGCTTCATCTGCGACGCCGTCCGAGTCATCGCCGAGAGCGCGACGAGAGGGCGTGATGCTGCGAAGACGCGCGGCACGCGGAGAAGAGGGCGCCGCGTCGACGCTCTTGATCGTGAGCTGGTCGCTGATGATGCGCCGAGCTTGCTCGAGCATCTCGCGGTCGCCCGCCGGCGGCGGAGTGAGAGAGCCGCTGACACGCGCACGCTGCGTTCGGCGACGATGACGAGCGGTCGCACGCACGGTCGTGTCGCCGTCGAGATCCTCCTCCTCCTCCTCTGACGGACTGAGAGCGCGAGGCGGCGCACCGTGCTTGGCCCAGCTCGGCAGCGTGTACGCCGTCTTCTTCTTCTTCTTTCGGCGCGGGGAGCTGTCTCCATCATCAGAGGCGCTCGAGGCCGTCTCCTCGCCGCGGTTGCTCGGCTGGCTTTCGTCGCTAGCGACGACAGGCACGACCTTCTTACGGCGCTTCGTGAAGAAGTCGTCCTGCGCCGCCTCGCGCTCCGCCGCCTCTGCCAGACGCTGCTTGCGCGCCGCCTCGCGAGCTGCGGCCTGCGACGTGGGACGGCGCGGCGCTGACGCCTTGACAGGCGAGCCGAGCGCCCGGAAAGTGGAGATGGTGCCGGAGTGCTCGGGCGACATGGACGTGCTGCCGCGCATGCCGCTCTGCGCGCTCGACTCTGGACTGGCGGACGGGCCGGCGGAAGAAGAGGCCGCCGGCGAGGAGATGAGGTTGATGGGCGACGGCACGCGTGCGCGCGCACGACTGCCCTCGGCTGCAGCGCCGTTCGGCTGCTGCCACGACGAGGCAAGCACGACGCTCTGGCTCGTGCTGGCCGACGAGCCGGTGGAGATGGGCTCGAACAGGCCGAGGTCGGGCGGCGGGCTGCCGGCGGCGCTGGCGGCGCTGTTGGCCGTCAGCACGCGGGCGCGCGGACGCGGGCGCGGCGGCATGGCCGACAGAGGAGGGGTGCGAGGGAGCTGCTCGGGGGAGCGCAGCGAGATGATGTGGTGACAGAGAGGAAGCGGCACGCCCGGCATGCACGGCCATCATCAGCAGCGGCGCTCGGCGGCGCCGCGGCGTGGGGTGCAGCTGTAGTCGGCGCCGGGAATCTGTAATCGACGCGTGCTTTCCGTCTTAATCGCGGCAGGGTGCGAATACAGCGGGCGAGATCCGCGGGTGAAAGTCGCGTGTGCCTCGGCCTGGCCCTGAATTTGAGGCTGCGCCAGCCTCTCGGCCCCAGCCTCCTGACCACGTCCTCCTTTCCTCTCGACCCCTGCTGCAGCACACAGCAGCGCTCGGCTTGTCGCTCTCCGGGCGCGTGCCCTCAGCCCAGCCCGCGTCCTCGTCACCAGCAGCGGCACCTCGCTGCGCCTCACCACCTTGGCGTGCCCAGCATGCCCGGCGTCCAGTGTCCGCAGTGCGGCAGCTCGAACACCGAGCACTACGACAATGCCGTCACCTGCGCCGACTGCGGCTGCGTGCTCGAGGAGTCGCAGATCGTCTCGGACATCACCTTTGGCGAGACGGGCAGCGGCGGCGCCGTCGTGCAGGGCAGCTACGTGGCCAACGACTCGCGTGAGTGGCAGCAGCACGTGTCTGGACAACAAGTTGTGCGAGAGCGTCTCGCTTGGCAGGGATGCACGGCACTTCGCGCAGCTCTTCTGACTGACGCTCCACCAACAGGCGGTGCGAGAACGCAAGGGCCTGGCGGCTTCCGCTCGGGCGGCACAGGAGAGTCCCGCGCCATGACCATTGCCAACGGTGAGAGTCGCGTGCACGCAGACATGTCGCGCTGAGGCTGACATGCCGGCACAGCACAACGAGGCATCCGTGCTCTGGCTACGGCCAAGTCTGTGCCCTCCATCGTCGCCGACATCGGCACGCGGCTGTTCCAGCTGGCCATCGGCGGCGGCACCATCAAGGACGACGGCGAGCAGCCGGCCAACTTTGTCCTCGGCCGCCGCAGCGAGTACTCGCAGGCGGCGTGCCTGTACCTGGCGTGCCGTATGCAGAAGACGAACCACATGCTCATCGACTTCGCCGACGCGCTGCAAGTGAGTACGCTCGAGGCTATGCAAGGCGTCGAGCGCTGACTGACGCTCCCTCCAGATCAACGTCTTCATCCTCGGCCGCTCGTATCTACGCCTGGTGCGCTGTCTCGGCTTCCAGAAGAAGGTGCCGGTGATGGATCCCTGCATCTACATCTCGCGCTTCGCCTCGATGCTCGACTTCGGAGACGCCACGAGCAAGGTGGCTGCCGATGCGACACGCCTGGTCAAGCGCTTCAAGAAGGACTGGCTGATCGAGGGCCGTCGGCCAGCCGGCATCTGTGGCGCGTGCTTGCTGCTCGCTGCCCGCATGAACCACTTCCGTCGCTCCATCACCGAGATCGTGCAGGTCGTCAAGATCGCCGACCAGACGCTGCGCACGCGTCTGCAGGAGTTCGCGCGCACGCCGACGGCCAACCTGAGCGTCGAGGACTTCAGCACCATCTGGCTCGAGGAGGAGACGGAGCCGCCGGCCTTCGTGCGCTCCAAGCTGCCGAAGAAGACGGCGCGTCTCAAGGGGCGCAAGCGTGCCAAGATGGAGTATGCGGATGACGATGATGACCTCGACGCCGTGAACGCAGAAGACGCTCTCGATGATCCGACCACCGACGAGGAAGACTCCGACGCGGAGGAGGACAGCGCCGCCGGATCGCCGAACGGCAAGGGCAAAGGAAAGGCCGTCGCGAAGGAGCAGAGCCCGCCGCCGAGGCTCGATCCTGCCATCGATGCGCTGGCAGACACGGCGACTGAGAACGAGATCATGCGCCATCTCGACGAGGACGTGGCGCGCGAGCTCGACGGCGAGCTGAATCGCGAGGAGGAGGCTCGGCAGGCACGTGCGCGTGCTGGTGATGTCGGACGCGCTTCGCCTGAGCCACCGGCGGACAACGAGGCGGGGCCGAGTCGCATCAAGCAGAGCGAGTCGCAGATGCAACAAGAACGTCACTCTGTTGCTCGCGACGGTGCTCCGACTCGGGACGAGGGCGCGCGCGTGTACAAGCGCGGCCCCAGTGTGCCTGCAGTCGACGAGTTGGCGGGCCTCGACGAGGCGGAGCTGGACAACTTCATCCTCACGCCGGAGGAGGCACGCATCAAGGAGCGCGTCTGGATGGAGTTCAACAAGGACTACCTCGAGCTCAGCCTGGAGCGCCAGCTCAAGATGGAGGCCGACATCAAGATGGGCATCCAGCCAAAGCGTGCTCCGAACGTGAGTGACCTCGACTCGGCTGCCGGCGCATGTGCTGACCTTGCATTCGTCGCTGCAGCGCAAGCGCAAGGCGCCGCGCGACTCGTCGACGGCCGCCGTCTCGGCTGCCGAGTCGACGAAGCAGATGATGAAGAAGAAGCAGTTCAGTCGCAAGATCAACTACGACGCGCTGGGCGACATCTTCAAGAACGAGGAGGAGATCAAGCAGGCGACGGGCAGCCGACGCAGTCGCAAGCGCGGCCATGCAGACGAGGCCAGCGACGGCGAGGACCTCGGCGGCGTGCGCGGCTACTTCCAGTCCGATGCCGACGAGAGCGAGATGGAAGTCGTGGAAGAGGCCGAGGGCCAGCTGCCGTCGAGCCACCCGTCGCGGCGACAGGAGAGCCGGGCGATGCGCAAGCACAAGGCCTCAAAGGCTCGCTCGCAGTCGCGCGGCAGCGCCACGGGCGACGCCATGAGCAGCGCCGGCGAGGAGGCCCTCTCGACGCGCACATCGCCCGGCCCCGAGGCAGACGCAGACGACCCGCTCGCTGAGATGCGCCGCATGCGTGGCGCTCAGGCGGAGGATGACGGCGACGACGGATACCAGGACGCTGGCTACTGATGAGCTCGACGATGAGCGCTCCCCTTCTCCTCTCCTCTTTCCCTCTCTCTTCTCGTGTCACCGTCTCACCGCCCTCGTCCTGTATCTCTACGCCACCCGCTAATCTCGAGCCGACGTCTCTCAGCTTGGCCGAAAGCTTCTCAATGACTGGGGTGTACAGATGCGGCGGCGGGCAAGAGACAGGAGCATGTGGCTTGGGACGTGCTGAGGAGAGAGAGGAAGGAGGAGAGCAGAGAGAGGCGTTGACGGAGGTGCTGAGTGGGCGCGTGGAGGAGGTGGGAGACGAGAGCACCGTGGAGACGAGTGACGTGCGACAGGCCCCTCGCAAGATGGAGGAGGGCCTGCGCAATAAATACGGCGTGACGGGAGACGGAGAGGGGAGGCGCGTGATGGTCGTAAGGTAGTAGCACCAGAGGTGGCGTGCTCTTTGACGTGAAGAAAGACGGCTCTAGATGTGCAGCTCGACGATGTTCGGGCCGCTCGCCTTCTTCTCCTCGTCGTCCTTCTTCGAGTTGCCTCGCTTGGCCTGGCTCGCCTGCTCGCGCGCCTCGGCGCGACGGATGCGTTCGGCGTTGGTGCGCAGCTTGCGCTTCGAGGCAGCTTCCAGACGCAGCTGCTTGGCGCTCGGCGGCGCGCCAGGCGGCGGCGGTACCGAGCCGGGCAACTGGCCATCCTTGCGAGGGCGACCCGGGCCACGACGAAGCGACGGCGCCGGCGGCGAGGGCGCTGCGGATGACACGGAGGCCTCGTCGGCACCGGGCGCCACGCTGAGACGCGACAGCGCATCGGAGGCCTTTGCGCCCGCGCTGCTGCCCGTGCCCGAGCTCGTCACGCTTGCGCCGCTGCTGCGAGGCTCGTGCTCCTCCGGCTTCACAGTCGGACTGCGACTGCGGCTGCGGCGCTTCACGTCGCGGCCGTCGCTCAGCGGCGCCTTGCTTGCCGCACGCTTCGGGCGTGGGCCCGGACTCGAGGAGAGCGGTGTGCCAGGTGCAGTGTGCAATTCGGCGAGACTCGACGCAGCGATGCTCTGCACCTTAAGGCCCATCGACTCTGCACTTGACTCCTCGCCGACGGCAGTCGTCGCTGTAGTTGAAGCATCGACGCTGGCTGCGTCGGCATTACTGCTGAATGCCGTCTCTGAAGAAGGACTGCCTCCTCGCACGCCGCGCCACTTGTTCACCACTTCGAGATGCGACGACGGCGACGATGGGAAAGCTCGCTCGCCCGTGTAGACCACCTCGGCGTCGCCTGCCGCCTGAACCTCTGCGTCGATAGCGTCGACGTCTAGACCTTCGCCGAACTGGCTAGCCTGCCAGGCCTGCAGCGCCAGTTCCCATCCGCCGTTCTGCCGGATGAGGAAGCGCGCCAACGGCAGAGAGAGCTCGTTGCCCGTGCTACTGATGAGCAATGCCTCTTCCTCGGTCGGCTCCGTCTCCTCCTCGACCGCGGCGCTCGATGCGCCTCCGCTCGATGCCACGCCTCGCTCGCGAATGCGAGGCAGCCCAGAGTGCGGGCCGTCGATGTTGCGGATCGAGCTGTAGTGCTCCCAGTTGTGATAGCTGCAGAGCAGCTGGCGTGAGCAGAAGATGCCCAGATCGGGAAGCGTAGAGCAAGGACTCACGCAATGTAGAGCGGGCCCCATGCCTCTGGCCTAGCGTTCTCCAAGCCCTCGGCTGCAGCAGGCTGCAGCGAGCTGCTCGCGCCGGCGGCTGTCGAAGTAGAGGCGCTTGCACTGCCCGTCGTTGAGATGCGCGGAGCCAGATCAGCAGCTCCCCTGCTCGCCTTGCGTTCTCGCATAGCCCGTCGTTGTTCCCTGGCCGAAGGGCCTGGCGCCTCTTGTTCGGGCCGCAGCGTCATCTGCAGCTGCTTGCGCTCTAGCTCGCGCCGTTCTCTTTCAGCTCGCGTGCTCGGCGCCTCGGTGTCGTCGACGGGCGAGACGATGTACACCAGTCCCGGCTGCATGATCTTGATCTCCTTCTGGTAGAGCTGCGCAAAGGCAGAGAGCTCGAGATGGCCGCCGTACGTGCCTGCTCGGCGTGTGAGCGGTGACTTCTGCGGGCGCACACTGGGCGAGTCCCAACTCACCGTTCTGGCGCATCGACCGCACATACTCGTCAAACGGCTTCTCGACATCTACAAAGCCCGCAAACTTCTCGGGCTTGTCTGAGAGGTAGTTGCACACGCCGTCGCGCAGCATGGCGTGGAAGCCCGGGTGGCCATAGAACTGATCGGACAGAGCACTGCAAGCGACGTGACGCGTGTGAGCCTGGAGGGGGGGAAAGCTCTCTGTGCCTCGCGCCGAGCAGCCAGCACGCACCGGAAGAGACAGTTGCCGTCGCCCATGGTGTTGGCGGCGTAGAGGTTCATGGCGCGCAGCTGGGCGTTGAGCTCTTTCTCCACTTGCGCTGGGTCTTCGAGGCCGTTGGTGAGCTGCGGGGTGGAGCAGGGTCAGCGCTGCAGCGGACCGCACCTCGACCGCGGCTGCCGGCCTCACCTTTGCCTTGCTGGAGCGCGTCACACGATCGCCTGCAGGAGTGAGACAGCGTCAGTATGCTGCTCGTCCGTTGTCTTGCCCCGCTCGCGGCTGCCGTGCGAGCGCAGCGTGATGGCCAGCGCGCGCGATGGAGTGCGGACGGGGGGCGCAGAGGCCGGGACTCGGGCGCGGCGCGCGCAGGGCCCGCTGCGCGCTCATCGTCGCGCCGCCTGTGCTGCGATCCTCCATCGCGCAAGTCGCTGCGCCGAGCATGGCTGTGCGCTGCGCTCTCCACACGTGCGAGTGTGGTGCAGCAGCCAGCAGAGCTCTCCCTACTGTGGGCCAGGCCGGCACTGCTGCGGTGCACGCGCACGCGCGCCGGGCCTTGCGCCGCGCGCGGCCTGTCGCGTGCGCGCGCATTTGGCAGCAACGTGGAGGGCAAATTCGCCGTCTCTGCGCCGCGCCGCCCCCTCCGCCGCCCGCTCGCCTCGTCGCAACAGCGGCACAGGCCGATGCAGCTGCCCCGGACGCCAGCCTCAGCCTCCTCGGCCCCAGCTCTGCCTCTCGCTCGTGCGGTGCGCGCCAGTCGCGTGACGCGCGCGCGCGCGCGCGCCCTCGACTCACCGTTGCCGCCGCGTCCAGCGCGCGGCTGTCTGCGATTGAGCGTGCTGCCGCCTGCGGCGCTGCTGCTGCTGCTGCCGCCCGCCGAGGCCGCGGCAGCAGCAGCAGCAGCGCCGTGCCGCTTCTTGGGCGGCATGGAAGGGCTAGCAGAGCAGCTTGCGAGGGGATGAAGGCAAGCCGCACTGCGTCCCCGAGAGAGCGATGAGGACGAGCAAGGTGAGGCGCGAAGGACACAGGGATGGAGGAGGAGGAGACGAGGCGCAGCTGCGTCCGGGCGAAGCGCAGCCGCCTCCCCTCGGCGCGGGCGCACCGCAGCAGCCATGCATCAGCTGCAGCCGCAGGCCGGCCGCCAGCGCAGCAGCACGCAGAGGCAGGCAGTCAGCGAGAGCGCGAGTTCTCATGCACGCCCGCAGCAGCGCGCCGCACCCGCAGGCCGCAGGCCGTCTGCTGCATCTGCCCACCGCTCACGCTCTGCGGCAGCCGGGGCCGCCTCCTCTGCGCCGCGCTCCCCACGGGCCGCCGCTCTGCCAATCAGTCTCTCAAGCGCCGCGCGCGCGGCCGCAGATCAGCCGCAGCCGCCAGCAAGGTGCCGCCGGTCCGAGCCGCTCAGGGGCTGCTCAACACAGCTCTCACCCACCTCATCATCCATGGCGGACCGAGCGACGTCTTCTCTGCTGTCTGGCACGCCTACCCCAGCGCCGCGTGCCGTTTCTTCGTCTGCACAGGAGTCCTGCATCTGCTGCGGCTGCGATGCAGCATCCAGACTCCGGCGGTTTGCTTGCTCGCACGCAGCGGCAGCGTGGCTGCGCTGGCAGCGCCTCTGCTTGCTGCTTCTGCACGCTGCGGCTTCTGCACGCTGCGGCGGCACCGGCATGAGCTGCAGAGGAGCATCGTTCCTCGTGCCGTGGGTCAGAGCAGACTGCTCCGATGCCCGCTCACTCGTTTTGTTCCCACGAACTCCAGCTCTGCTGGCGTCTCTTCTCGCCGACGAAGAGTGGCTGCCATTTGTCTGCGAGCAGAAGGTGCATCGCATTGTCTCGTTGCACACCGGCCGCGCCAGCTGCTGCCCGCTGCCGCTGCCGCCAGCGTCTTGGACCGCCGATCAGCAGGCAGCTCGGCCTCATCGCGCTCGCGCCGCGGGTGCAGCAAGGCGCCGTAGCGCGGCAGGGTCCGCCGCCGTACTTGCAGATCTTTTAGACGCTGCGCACGCGTGGCGCTGAGGGCGGGCACCGCCGATGCCTCTCGGAGTCAGCGTGCTCGGACGGCTCAGGCAGCTCATTGACATGCATGAACGCAGGCTGTGTGCTCTGGCGTAGCCAGTCAACCTCTCCGTTCGCTTCTCACGACCTGAAGCAGCAGCGTGGGAGGATAGAGGACGGAGGGGTCTTGGCTGCGCCGCGCGGAGGCGCCATGTCGTGCAGCGGTGCAGGCATGAGGCAAGTGGAGGTCGGCGTCGGCCTCGGTGTGCGCTGCCGCCGCGGCTGCGCCGAACGTGCCGCTCCCTCGGCTGCAGATCTCGCATCTCGCCTCGGCACCGTGGCTCCGGACTCGGCTTCAGCGCCAGGGTGCGGTCCTGCTGCCGCCTCGCCGCATCGGACGCAGGCACCCTTGCAACGTCGTCCTGCAGCTGCGTGCCTGAGCTGGAGCTGCTCGGCTGACCTGGTGCAGCAGCACCAGGAAGCGGCGCCTGAGGCGCGCATGTCAGCGCCGCATCGGCCACGCTCGCCTCTTCTCTTGCAACGACGACCGCCGACACGCACCGCCAGCATCAGCATCGCCTGGCACTTCAGACCAGACATGGGTCTGCCGCCGTACTCGGGGCCCTTCACCGTCGGCGTGCTCGACCTCGAGATTCCTGTGCGGCAGCCGCGCAGTGCGTGTCGTTTCGCGGCTCACTCTGCAGACGCTGCTTCTGCTCACCTCCGCTTCTCTGCACAGGCTTCGGCGCAGACACGGTGCCGAACGAACGGATCAACAAGCCAAAGAGCAGCCGGCCCAAGAAGCGCAGCAATGGCAGCGACAAGGCGGCACAGACGACGTGCAAAGACAGTCAGTGGGATCCCCTGACGGGCGGCGCAAAGACGTGCACGCTGCATCTCAGCACTGTGCTCTTCACGCTCTACTATCCTTCTGCCGTCGAGGGCGAGGCCGCAGACAGCTACGATCGGGCAGCTTGGCTTGGCCGGTGCGTGCGCCGCTGTGCCGACGAGTGGGCTCTGCACCCCGTGGGCGCTGACGTTGCTCCTCTAGGCCGAAGCGGAGGGGACTCAGTGCTCTCTTTCGCTACGTAGGCAACTACGGCCCAATGGCTGTGCCCGCCTCTCCCGCCATCTTTCTCCTCGCCGCAGCCAAGATGCGCGCCATCTGTGCACCGCCGCTGGCGGACCCCGACGATCCGCGCACGCGCGCCCCGCCGCCGTTTGCAAGAGATGCGACCGGGCTCTTCGGCGACCTTCCTCCTCGCTTCCCCGTGCTCTTGTTCAGTCACGGACTGGCGGGCAATCGACTTGCGTACTCCCAGTTCTGCGGCGAACTTGCGAGCCATGGCATCGTCGTTGCTGCACTGTCAGTCCCGCGCATCAACAAGAGCCTAGAGAAGCGCATCGCGATGCTGACACGTCACTCCGCAGCGACCATCGCGACGGGAGTGGACTCGCAAGTGCAGTGCGCGTACCGATGAGGGAGCCGAAAGCAGACTCGAGCGAGGAGAGCAGAGGCGAAGCAGGCTCTTCTCGCACGGCAGAGCAAGCTGCGTCTCAACGAAGCAAAGGCGAGGCGAGCATGGGTCCTCAGGAGGCATGTGCACAGCCGCAAGCCTTCGAGCAGAAGCATCACGGCGCACAAGCGCAGCAACTGCATGAGAACAGCGGGCGGCCACAGTTGACCAAAGGCGACGTGCCCTACCTGACCTTCGAGCGTCTCGGCATGCGTTCCTTCGCGCCCGATCCGAGGCCGGAGGAAGTGGCGATGCGCCAAGCCCAACTTGCGATGCGCGGCGCAGAGATCGATGAGTGCCTGCATGTCCTGCGACGCATCGCAGGCGGAGAAGGAGAGCAAGTGGCGAGGGAAAGCACCAGGGGCTTGGCGAACAAGCTCAGCAGTGGAGCGGCGAAGAGGGAGAGGAGGAGAAGGAGAGGCGACGCGCCGCGAGGACCCGAGGCAAGTCTGGAGGGCGCGCCGGAGCGGCTGGCAGAGTGGAGAGACAAGCTGTGAGTGCAAAGGAGAAGCTGACGCATTGCTCGTTCGTGGCACACTCGTTGACCCCCCGCGTCTGCTCAGCGACGTGGACAAGCCGGCACTGGTGGGCCACTCCTTTGGCGGCGCCACGGTGCTGGAGAAGGCTCGGCAGAGCAGTCAGGAAGCAGAACAGCCCTGGTTGCTCATCATGGCGCTAGACCCCTGGGTGGAGCCACTCGTCGAAGATGATCGACCACCAAACGTCACTCCAACGTGTGAGTTCAGCAGTTCTTGCGCCCGGCGTTTCGCGTGAGCGTGCTTCTGATGCCGCTCCTGGCGCTCCCGCAGATGTGTTGAACACCGAGGCATTCTCGGTGTGGCAGGAGAGCTTTACGAAGTTGAAACGGGTGCTGCATCAAGCGAGAGAGGCGAACGGAGAGCACAGAGGTTGGCTGATGTGAGTGCCCTCGACGGCGGATCTTTGCTGCATGTGCTCAAAGCGCGCCGCAGGACCGTGTGCGCCACGAACCATCTCGATGTGTCCGACTATCCGTTCCTCTTGCCCCATGTCTTTCGCTCCACAGTCGGACCAGAAGCAGCGGTGCGCCTCTTCAGCCGAGCCTGCCTGGTTCAGACTGGCCTGAGTCGACAACGCTTCCGCGAGCGTGCCGGTGCGCCGGGCGCCAAGTTTGAGGAGGGCGAGGGCGACCCGCTCATGGGAGGTGGAGTGAAGCGTGCGAGAGAGGTGGGCACGCAGGCCATGGCCAGTCTCACGGACGTGGGCAGTCGACCGGCCGAGGCAGATGCCAAGGGCGCCAGCGAAGACTGGGAGCGTTCTCGTGTCCGCGCGCAGAGGCAGGAAGCTTCGTCCAGTAGCGACGCCCCGAGCAGCGACGCCTGCACGCCGCAAGCTCGTCCAGCGCACGACGACAGCAGCAGCACTCCGCGCTTGGGCAGCGCAGCAGCTCCAGACACCTCGACGCCGCAGTCGCACACGTCGACGACGGGCAGTGGCAAGGCCAAGAAGCATCATGAGCTACTCGAGCGTCTGATGCACGGGCACGGCGACGAGGAACAGAAGCGCAAGGTGCGAGGCGTGATCGCGAAGCGCAGCAACTCGGGTAACAACTTGCTCGGAGGTGAGTTTGAAGGCCAGAGAGGAGGGGGAGAAGGGGGGGGCGCGCCGCTTCTGTCACCCCCCCCCCCGGCGCGCGGATGGCTAGCTGATGCCCGTGGCGTTGCGTCGCCAGTGCCTCGCACGAGTGCAGACCTCGTCGACTGGAGCTCCGACGCTTCGCAGGTGCAAGATGCGGATCGCGACGCCGACGAAGTGCACCGCACCCTCGAGGACATCTCGAGGCGCCTGGCGTACAAGCGTCCCAAGATCCACTCGCTCCTCGCGCTCCTCTTCCGCTTGAAGGGCGTCAGACCTGGCCTGGATACTGTGAGTGAAGACTGAAGGATGAGAGCAGGGGCGGATGATGCTGACGCTAACCCGCGACGCACAGCCTGGAAGCGTGCTGGTCCACTCGCTCTCCTGAGCCATGCAGTCGCCTGCGAGAGAGCCTCATGTATTGCGGGGCGTGAGGCGAATGTCGAACCGATGCTCTACTGTTACATGAATGCGTGCGTCAAACTGGCTCCTTCCTGCTTCATCCTTGTGCGCGCCCTTCTCCGCTGCCAGACAAAAGCTCAGTGTTCTCCCGGTCCATGGCTGGTCGATCGAAAGGGATTGAGCGGACGCATGCGCCATCGACTTCGCGTGCTTGCATCGCCATCTGCGCCTTCTCCCTGCGCGGCAGCAGCGGCGGCAGACGACGGCTGCTCCTCGTCGTCTTCGCCGCCTTCTGGACGCGCCGGAAGCGCAGGCAAGGAGCGTGTGGGCCGCACGCGCACGAAGATGAGGATGGAGAAGGACGTCGCGAAGATGCCTGTGTCTGGTGCGTCAGGCGAGGAGGGCAACACGCGACAAGAGCCGAAGAAGCCGGGAAAGGTCAACTCACAAGCGCCGAGGATGAAGATGGCCTGAGGCAAAGTCTCGGTCGTGTATTCGAAGAGAGGCAGGAAGATGGAGGGTCCTAAGATGGCCGATGCCAGTGCGTTGAGCACGGCCCAGGCTGCAAAGAGCTTGCCTGCGTCGTTCTCGTGCTGGCGGGTCGAGGCGAGCCCGAGGGAAGGGGGGGGAGGTAGCGTCAGCACACGATGCTTTGCGGGTCGGGGGAAAGGGGGGGGGGGGGGGGGGGGGGGGGGGGGGGGGGGGGGGGGGGGGGGGGCAGAGGACGGACGGCAGGGAAGGAGGAGGAAGAAACTCACGTCGAGCAGGGCAAGAGCCAGTGAGCTCATCGCACTCGGCGCCGCTCCGCCAAGCGAGACCAAAAAGCTGAAGAGGACGAACGGCACGGGTCCCTGTCCGTGCGTGGCGGCGAGGGCCGTGTAGCAGAGCGCGTCGACGGCGATGCTGCCGAGCGCGAGGCGCCGGTCGAAGTGCGAGTCATGCAGCAGGCGAATGTGCTTTGCGCGGATGCGCCACAGCTCGCGCGAGTCGGCGCGGCCGCCGTGCAGCTCCTCGGGCGCCGCCGAGGAGGAGAGATAGGAAGTGTCGCGTTCTGCGAATGCGACGCGCTCGTCGTTGGTGGAAGAAGACGAAGAAGACTTCTTGGCGTTGCGAGGATTGCCTGCATCGTCAAGCACCACTTCATCACCCTCGTCCTGCGGCAGCGAGATCGTCTTCTTCGGCCGATGCATGAGCTTGATGAACAGCGGCACCACGGCCGTCAGGCAGAGCACTCGTGCGACGCTGCCAAACGTAATGAGCAGGCCGAGCTGCGGCGGGCCCCAGTTGAACATGAACTGCGCATACGAGACTTTGGGCGTCAGCACGCCAATCATCGTCGCCTCGATGAAGTAGGCGAGCGACAGCAGCGTCAGGTTCCAGTCGAGCTTGGACGCCGAGCGCGCCGTCGAGACGTGCGAGACGGAAATGTGCGAGGCGGCGGCTTCGTTTTGCGGCGCAGCAGACGTGTCGGAATCTTCGACGCAGCGACGCTTGGGCAGCAGCATGACGAGGGGTTGAAAGGGCATGGCGAGCAGCACGAAGAGGCGGTTGCGACGCCACTTTGCGCCGCTGACGCCCGGCAACGGATTGCCGTCGCGATCTTCGCCTTTTGCTGCCGCCTCGGCGTCGTGCTTGGCCTCCAGCATGCGTTCCTTCGAGAGCGACTCGGGCAGAATGAAGGCGACGAAGAGGAAGTAGGTGCCGTGCGAGGCGAGGGCGACGTAGAAGGGCATGGCGAGCGAGCCGGTGTGCTTGGCGATGAAGCCGCCGAGCACGGAGCCCGAGCCATAGCCGAGGAAGAGGACGCCGGAGATGATGCTGAGAATCTTGCTCTTGGAGCCCGGCGGGCTGACGTCTGCCACGTATGCCTGGTTGGCGGCGGCCAGCGTGGCAAAGCCGCCGAAGATGCCCTGGATGAGGGCGCCGATTATGAGAAAGTTTGTGCCGCCGGGCACGCGCTCGATGGGCACGTGGGTGAGGAGAATGTAGCAGGCGTCGGCGACGAGAAAGCCAAAGATGCTCATGCGCAGCACGGGCACGCGGCCGATGCGGTCCGAGAGGGCACCCCAGAAGCCCGTGCCCGCCACGGCCACGAGGCCCATGGCCAGCTCGATGCGCAGAAAGAGCGCCGCCATGGCGCTCTGCACGGCGGGAATGGTGCGGCAGTGCTCGTGCATCGGCACGCCGACGGTGGTGCTACTGGAGGCGAAGTATTGGAGCGAAGAGGGCGCCGGTGCAGAGGAGGAGAGCAGTGACGCCGGTGCAGAGGAGGAGAGCAGTGACGCCGGTGCAGAGGAGGAGAGCAGTGACGCCGGTGCAGAGGAGGACAATAGTGGCGCCTGTTGTTGCTGCTGCAGCGTATACCTCGGCGTCTGCCACCTCTCCTCTGCGCGCCCCTCTGCCACGCTCATCTCTGCCACCGCGCTGCCGCTGCTGCCCTGCCCGCCCTGGCGCACATCCAGGCCCATCTCGTGGCACAGCAGCTGCGTGATGAGCTCCTGGCGCGGCGCCATGACGATGCCGCCGGCTGCGGCGAGGAGGAAGATGGCGGGCGGCAGCCAGAGGCCCGAGGGGCGCCGGTAGAAGGGCAGCGTGGCGATGTGCGAGAGATAGGCATCGTTGGAGGGCCGCTTGGCGGGCGTGGAGACGCCAGGCGAGCGCGAGGGCGAGGCGGAGGAATGGCGCAGAAGAGGCGTGCGCTCCGAGGAGCCGGTGCCTCGAGGCGGCGACGAGGAGCGCGGCATGCTGGAATGGACGTGCCTTGACAGAGGAGAGTGTGGAGAGCAAGCAAGGCGCGAGCAGCGCTGGATGGGCGCAGGCGCAGCGCAGTCGGGAGTACGACCCTGGCAGCGCGCGCGCGGCCGCCGCGGCTCGCGCACCGGCTCGCCGGACTTTAGCTGCGCGGCATCTCCGGCTGACCAATGTCACCGCCCCTGTCTGTCACTTGGCCTGTTGCCCGCGAGCGGCGCGCTCGCCTTCGACATTCGCAAAGGGGTGAGAGGCACTGGAACTGCTCGACAGCGCAAGCAGCGTCAAAGACTGTTGTGCTCAGTGCACGCTTGGACCAGGGCTTCTCATCATGTGCGCCTGCAGCTGCGAGCATGGCAGCGCACACTCGCACGTCCACGCCTCGCGCCGTACAAAGACGCCAGAGGCAGAAGCGCGTCACGCGCGCGCGCCGGCGTGCCTCGCCCTCGCGAAGCGGCGTCTGCCGGCCTGTGCTCCACGCCGCAAATCTCTGCTGTGGCGACTACTGCTGCCTCTCAGCCTTGTGCTGCAGCCCACGACTGTTCGGTGACCGCAGCAGATCTTCTTGACCCGGACACAGGCGACTCGTCGCTGCGGGGAAGAGGAGCGAGTGGGGTGTCTCGCGCGAGAAAGGCGGCGCAGCGATGTGGAGGCGGCCGCCTGGGCGCGCCTCGAGCTCACTTCGCTTGCCCTTGACGCGCACGCTTGCTGGCCTTGCCTCCTCTCCTCCATCTGCCTTCAACTGTCATCGCCTCTTCCCTACCTCTCTGCTCTCTACAACCACCAGCCTTCACGCATCGCCCAAGTCTCACTCGCGTCCCAGTACACCCGCCATGTCCTCCCGTCCTCGTCGCGCCGCCGCCTCGCTCTCTCGTCGCGCCATCCTCGCCGACGCCAGCGACGACGACGAGGGCGCGAGCGGCTCAGACGCCTCAGGCAGTCGTAGTGGCGGCGGCAAGCAGAAGCGGCGCTTCGCCGACTCCGACGAGTCCGACAGCGCAGATGAATGGCGCCCCGCCGCTGCTACTGCTGCGCCGGACGGGGTGAAGGGCAAGCGCGCACGGCCAACGAGGCAGGCGCAGCCATCGGCGTCGGCGTCGGCGTCGGCGTCGGCGTCGACGTCGGCGTCGGCGTCGGCGTCGGCCAGCGGCTCTGCGTCGCCGGGAGCGTCAGAGTCGGACGTCGCAGATGCACGTGCGACTGGCGCGTCGGCAGCGGCGAGCAAGAGCGGCGCCGCGGCTGGCAAACGCAAGCGTGCCTCGGCGCACCCTGCGGCAACCTCTCGCTCTCAGCGCGCAAAGGGCAACAGCGCCAGCGGCTCCATCTCGCGCCCTGCCACGACGCGCAAGCGCGGCGCTCGCGGCGTGGCCGAGGGAGAAGAATCGGATGCCGAACTGCTGGCTGCTGCGGGCGCCTTTGAGGCGGAGATGGAAGCTGCGGAGCTCGAGGCGGCGCGAGAAGAGGCGAAGCTGGCATGGCAGAGTGTCAAGGCGAGAAAGAATGGCGGCGCAACAACAAGCGCACAGGGCAGTGGAGCGACGAGTGCGGCAACTCCCTCTTGCAGCGCGTCGGTGCGAGTGGAGAATCGCAACGGGGTCTCCTCCTCGAGCACTTCTACTTCGACGACGGCGCCACGCCAAGGCGATCTCAACGTCTGGCTGGGCAAGTCTGCGGTTGCGATGCCTTCTACATGTGCCGCGGCGCAGATCTACGACCGCGACTCGCTCTTCATTGGGCATGTCTATCCGCTTCTCTCTTCCTCCTCTGCCTCGCGCTTCGCGCTGCTCGAGCATCTCTCTCGCGCCGTGCATCCGCGCCTCGCCACCGACGCCTTTCCGCCGGCCTTTCGCCATCTGCCGCCCGGCAGACGCGGCGCCAGCCACGACATGCTGGCATGGCGCGTGCTGGAGCTCAAGCAGGGAAGAGACGGCCTCGGCGGGCCCGGAGACTTTGGCGTCGTCGAGGGAGAGGAAGATGATGGAGAGAAAGGCGGAGGACGCGCAGTGGCCAAGATGCTCAAAGGCTTGGGAGCTTGTGATGTCCTCGTCGTTGTTTCAAGGTGAGTTTTTTTGCCCCGGCGGGGGGGGGGGGGGGGGGGAAGAGAGAGAGAAGCTGATGCAATGCGCGATCAGATGGTATGGTGGCACAATGCTCGGCCCCATTCGCTTCCAACACATCGAGACGTGTGCGCGCGAGGCAATCTTGAAGTATATGCATGACGAAGTAAGTCTTCGCCGCTCCCCCCCCCCCCTCTCTCCAGCAGCCATCAGCTCACGCCCTCTTCGTTTTGAAACGCAGGCGCTGGTGCCGCTGCGAACTCGTCTGCAGTCGCTCGACTTGCGCGTCGGGGAGCTGCGCGCCAGTCTGGCGGCGCTGGCACCAGCGGCGTCGACGTCGCAGAGTGGCGCCTCTGCTTCCCAAGCCGCCGTCGCCGCCGCATCGTATGCCGACCTCACGCCCTCGAAAGCGCAGCGCCTCATCTCGGCGCGCGAGAAGCAGGTGGACATGCTGCAGACGCGCCTCGCGCAGCTCGGCGGCGAGGGCGCAGACGGCGACGTGGGAGCGAAGGATGCCGCGCCGCAAGAGGGGTGCAGGAGGGAGGAGAAGGAGAAGGATGGAGAAGTGCGCGTGGATTTGGAGCAGCTGGATGCGGCACAGAGAGCATTGAGAGTGCTGCCGCCCTGAGCCTGTTGCGCAAGGAAGAAGGGGGGGAGGGCAATGTACTTGTATTGCGCGCGCAAGTTGTAGTGAGGTGTGCTAGTCGGCCACGCGCGATTGTATTGCGAGCGCGCCTGGAGTGGGCCGCGCTCTCGACTGCTCAGTGTGCATGTTCGGCCTGCCCTCCACCCTCGGCCCGTCCTTGCTCTGCCACCACCACCCTCCCGCTTGCGCTCAGCTGGCGCCATCATGGGCGACGCGCCCGGCGCCGCGCTGCTCATTCCCAAGCCTCCCTCGCCCGCTCTCCTCTCCGCCTGGCTCACGCGCCACTACTCGCTTCTCGACGCCGAGGCCGTCGCGGCCTCATCCGCCTCGGCATTGCTCTCTACATCCGCCTCTGCCTCCCTGCTAGCCTCGCATGGGCTCGCTCTCCTCTCCCTCTCGCCTGCTTCCGCACTGCGCAGCGGACCAGGCGGCACTCGCCTGCTCGACCTCTCCCGACCCGCGCATTTCCACGCCGACGAGCGTCTCCCTGCCCACCAACTCCGCCCCGGCGACACGGTGCGCTGCGCTCTGCCCGACGCCAGCTCGACAGCCAAGCGCAAGGGCGGCGCCAAGGCAAAGGGAAAGGAGGAGCAGGGCAAGAAGAGACAATGGGAGTGCCAGGCCGTCGTGTATCGCACCTCCGAGAAGTGCCTCACGCTGAGTCTCAAGGGAGAGGAAGAGGAGCAATGGCCGCCCAGTGTGCATGTCTTCAAAGTGGCAGATGAGAGTGTGGTGAAGCGGTGAGTCTCTCTCGGCTCCTATGTACCCCTTGCCACCCACCAGGCCGCGCACCTCTGTTGTGAGAGGGGGGGGGGGGGCGCTCTAGCGTCGCGTTCGCGGCCGCGTGCAAGTCCAGCAAGCCAAGCTATTTCTTCGCTCTTCGCTCTTCGCAGGCTGATTTCTTGTGTCTCTCTGTGTGTCTCTCTCTCCCTGCATTCTAGCATGCAGCAGTCGCTTCTGCGTCTGTCGAAACAACTCGACGTGCCCGTTGCACTTCCCGACGCCAAGTCCTCCTCCTCCAAGCCATCCACCGTCGTCGTCGGCGCCGCCGCTGCCGCCGAATCCTCAGCCTCGGAGGCAGAAGCAGAAGCCTCCTCTTCTCTTCCCCCCAGCTCAGCGCCCTCGACTTGCACACTCTCCTCCTCGCGTCCCGCCGTCATCTCGCCGCTGCTGGGTCTCTCTTTGCCCACTTGGCGTGCTTCATCATCATCATCATCGGAAGACGACGCAAGTGCGCTGTCGCTCTTCGACGTCTCCCTCAACGCCTCGCAGCGCTCTGCCCTCGACTTTGCCCTGCGTGCCAATCACTTCGCCTTGATCCACGGCCCGCCGGGCACGGGCAAGACGGCGACACTCACCGAGCTCATCTTGCAGTTTGCCCTCGCGCCGGGAAAGGGCAAGGCGCAGAGAAAGAGGGTACTCGTGTGTGCGGCCAGCAATCTGGCGGTGGATAATGTGCTGGCGAGATTGCTGCAGACGAGGGAATTGAGAGAGGAAAAAGTAGCAGTCACTAGAGTTGGTCGTGAGTGTTGTTGCAAGGGAGCGACGCTGGCAAGGGGGGCAGGGGGGGAAGGGGGCGAGACTGAACCTCGCTTTTCCCGTCCTATTTCTAGATCCAGCGCGAGTCCTCGCCTCGCTCAACGACGCCACGCTCGAGCATCAGTGCTCTTACAGCGACGCCGGCGCTCTCCTTCGCGACGTCCACGCCGAGCTCGACGCGCTGCTCCTCTCGCTTTCGCCTGCCTCGTCTGCCTCGTCGGCGGGCAACAAGTCGACGTCGCGGCGCGGCGACTCTTCCTCGAAGCCTCTGCGGGGCAGCGCACGCAAGGAGGCGTGGAGTCGCGTAAGGGAACTGCGTGCGGAAGCGCGCAGGCGCGAGAGAAACGTGGCGACGAGCGTGCTGGAGCAGGCGAGCATTGTGGCGGCGACATGTCATGGTGCTGCGGCGCGCGTGCTGCAGCGACAACACTTTGATGTCGTCGTGGTGGATGAGGCTTGCCAGGCGTTGGAGGCGCAGATTTGGTGCGCACTGCAGAGGTTGAAGCCGCATGGCACGCTCGTCCTCGCGGGAGATCATCGGCAATTGCCGCCGACTGTGCTGGGCAGGAAGAAGGGCGACGGCATCAAGAAGGAGAAGAATGCAAAGCGAGGCAAGAAGAAGGAGCAGAAGAGGAGCGAGCAAAGAGAGAAGGAGAAGGGCGAGGAAGAGCGAGGGGAGAAGGAGAGGGTGGAGGAGGTGCAGGCGGCAAGTGACACTTCTGAATCCGACGACGACGACGACGACGATGACGCCGCCGAAGAGGACGTCAAGGCACCCTCCTCCGGTGCGACTGTATCAAAACACGACGACGACGACGACGACGACGACGACGACTCAGCGAGAGAGTCCTCGTCCTCGGCCTCGGCCGACGCCGACGCCGACGAGGCGCAGCTCTCCTTGCGACGCTCTGCTGCTGCTGCTGCGCACCTCTCCCCCTCCTCCTCCTCCTCCTCCTCCTCCTCCTCCTCCTCCTCCTCCTCCTCCTCCTCCGACGACGACGACGACGACGACGACGACGACGACGACGACGCCTCCTCCTCCGCCTCGCCCTCGCGCGCATCGCTTCAGCGAGCCACCTCTCTGCGCCTGCCGCACTCGCTCGAAACGACCATGTTTTCGCGCTTGCTGGGCATGTACGGCGCTGGATGCAAGGCCCTGTTGAATGAACAGGTATGTAGAACAGATCCTTTCCCCCCTTCCCCCCCCCCCCCCCCTTTGCCCCCTAGTTTTCCTTCTCTCCTTCGTACCTTGGCCTCTCTCTCTCTCTTGCGCGCGCGCCCTCCCGCGCTCCCCTTAGGCCCCCCAAGGGCTCCTCGCTGCCGCTCATGCGGCTGCCTCGCTCTCGCTCGCTCGTCACTGACGACTCGCCTTTCTCGTCCGCCTCCTTTTCCCCGCTCTTGCAACTGCCCTGCCCCCTCGGTCTTCGTTCCTCGGGGGTCTTGGCGGGCGTGCAAAAAACAACAAACAGTACCGCTTCAACACCTCCATCATGGCCTTTCCCAATCTGGCGCTGTACGACGGCCAGCTCGTCGCGCACGCCTCGGTCGCCTCTCGCTCGCTGCTGGATCTGCCCGGCTACGCGCCTCTCGCCGGAGATGCACAAGACGCAGACGAGGCACTCGAGGAACCTTGGGCGGCCAAAGTCGTGTTTTACGATACGTCTGGCGGTGAGTTGTGTGTGTGTGTGTGTGTGTGTGTGTGTGTGTGGGTGTGTGTGGGTGTGTGTGTGTGTGTTGCTCTCTCCTCGCACCACACGTATATACTCTCTATTGTCCCCGCCCCGCTGCTCCCGGGCCCGAGAGCTTGAAGCTGACATGCGCGACGCAAACCAACAGCGGACATGTATGAGACGTCTGGGTCCATCTCCACCTCCTCCAAGCAGCCGGCCTCGCTCTCGTCCTCCTCGAAATGCAACGCCCACGAAGCCGAGCTGGTGCGGCGCCACGTGGCGCTGCTCCTTGCCCACGGCCTTCCGCCCACGCACATCTCCGTGCTGGCGCCGTATGCGAGCCAGGTGGCGCTGCTTGCGAGCACGCTGCGAGGCGAATGGCCAGAGCTGGCGCTGGATGTGGGCACGGTGGATGCGCAGCAGGGACGGGAGAATGAGTGCGTTGTTGCCCTCCGTTACGTGCCCTTTGCTCTCTCCCCGCTCGCTGACGTCCCTCCACACACTCTCGAACTACAATGCGCAGCGTGGTGATCCTCTCTCTCACACGCTCAAACGCCACGTCGCGCGTCGGCTTCCTGGCGGAGAAGCGGCGCCTCAACGTGGCCATGACGCGCGCGCGCCGCCAGCTCGTCGTCGTGGGCGACGGCGCCACGCTCGGCGGGTGCGGCGATGCGTATCTGAGGCGCTGGAGCGAATGGCTGGAGATGGAGGCCGTGTGTGAGGCGGTGGTGCTGCAATGAGATGCCGATGCGCATCAGGAAAGAGAGGGAGGGGGGGGCAGCAGCAGCGGCAGCAGCAGCAGCAGCAGCAGCAGCTCGGGAGTCGGACCAGCGAGGCGCACGCCGCGCGGCGGCGGCGTGAGCTCAGCAAGAGCTTGCGGCCCTCTAGACTCCACAACGCACCTTGTGCCCCCTTGTCTCTCTCCACCACACTGCCCTCTTTTGCTTCTGCCCCCCACGCACACACACACCGCACGAGATGCTGCCTCTCGCCTCGTCGTCTGCGTGCGTCGCAGCCGCAGCGGCCGCGCGCGCCGGCGGCCGCCGCGCCGTGCGAGGCCGAGGCGCGCCTCCCGCCGCGGCGCGGTGCCAGCCTCTGGCGTTGGTGGGGGGGCGCCGCAGCGTGGCTTCGACGGCGTCTGGCCGCGCTTCTGCCTCCGATGCCTCCTCCTCCTCCTCCTCCGACGGCGACGATGCTTCCGCCGCCTACGCCTCAGCCGCAGCTTCGACTGCGGCGCCACAGCACCAGCACCAGCATACGGACATTGCCATCCTTGGCGGCGGCGTCGTCGGGCTGGCACTTGCCGCTGCCCTCTGTATGTGTTGTTGTTCTTTGCTCTTCCCCCCCCCCCTCTCTCTCCTCTTCTCCTCTCAGTTTTCTTGCGTGCTGACCCTCTCTCTCTCTCTCTCCTTCTCTCCTGGCGAAACACACCAGCGCAACCGCGCGCCCTCCTGCCACGCACGCACATCACCCTCATCGATGCCGCGCCCCTCGAGCGCATCCGAGAGTGGCAGCCGAAATGCGCGGACGAGGACAAGAGGGACGGTGTGGTGTGGGAGAATAGAGTGATTAGTTTGAACGAGGAGAATAGAAGGTGGTTGCAGGGTGAGTTGCAGTGCGCGTGGAGAAGAAGGGGGGGGGCGAGGAGAGGAGTAGGAGGAGTTGGCAAGGGAAGAGGGACGGGAGCGTGAAGCGGGTCTGTTGTCGGTGGGAGAGGCAAAGCTGAACTCTCCCTCTCTCTCTCTTCCTCTTCCTGCCTCACTCTCTCTCTTCCTCTTCCTGCCTCACTCTCTCTCTCTTCCTCTTTCTTCCTCAATCTCACTCTCTCTCCCTCTCCCCCCGCTGCATCGCAGATCTCGGCATAATGGCGCACTACCCCTCCTCGCGTCTCCACTCTCTCACGTCCATGCACGTCAGTGACGGCCTCAGTTCCTCCTCTCTCTCCTTCGACGCCTCCTCCTCCTCGCGCATCTCCACGATGGTCGAAGTACGTACGCTGCAACGCGCGCTTCTCCGCTCTCTTTCCTCCTCCTCCCTCTCGCTGCGCACCGCCACCGTCTCCTCTATCTCGCCCTCCAGCCTCGACATTGAAGATGCCTGGCCCATCCTCTCCCTCTCCGACGGCTCGACGCTCCGCACGCGCCTCTTGATCGGCGCAGATGGCGCCGCGTCGCCCGTGCGGCGCTATGCGCGCATCGAGGCGCAGCAGAGAGTGTATGGCAGCCATGGCGTCGTGGCGACTTTGAGAGTGGAGCAGGGAGCGGCGGCAACGGCAAGACAGAGATTCTTGCCGACGGGCCCCATTGCTTGGTTGCCGGTGAGTTTTTGCTTTGCCAAGTCCCCCCCC